TTACCTCATTGGTACGTCACAGTTACCCTGACAAGTGGTCTTTCTTTAGTGAGGTAATCGATGGAATTACTCAGTAGGTGGCAGGTGTGAGAGTGGCACCTGGGCCTCGTCTAGCTGCGCGCGTGTGAGTGGGTGGGTGGGTGGAGGAGGCGGCCGTGTACAGCCAAGACAAAGAAGTCGTCCCACGTGTCAACCCAGGGAGGTCATAATCAATAAAGAACCTAGAAATCACAGCCAAGTTGTCAGTCACATGCCCTTCGCCAGATTGTGTTGGCTTGTGTCGGTGTGGAGGAATCCCGGGGTGGAAGGTGGTGGTGGTGTGTGAGACTGTAGAGGCGGCGGCCAGGGGGAGGAAGAGCAGCCTCGATGTCATGATCACAACTCTGAAAATATCTTATAGCTGTGTAAATGAATCTCGGCTGTGTCTTAAGAGGAGTCTTGTTAATGGAGGAGGAGAAGGTTGCTGTTGTGTGTGTGGACAAACACGAATGCTTCTCCACGGTGGGAACTCGGCCATCTGCCGTCACCGCCATCACTACGATAACCTCCACCACCACTACTAACATCACTACCATTACCACCACCACTGCCAACACGATAACCTCCACCTTGAAAGGGACTTGCAAGCGATTCTCTAATGTTTTTGATTTCTGATATCTTGTAATGGATCTCTCTTTCAAGGGTGTTGGTAAATCAATTGGGTTTTACTGGAACGTTGGTAAATCAATTGGGTTTTACTGGAACGTTATGTTGACTATATACTTAACGGAAAACGATTTTGTAGTATTAAGTGCACGTCCTGTTCAGCGCTTTCACGCTAGAGATTATCTTGGCAGTTTCAGCCACTTCAGTTTTACGATACGCGTTTAAATTCGAAACCGCTCGACGAAACAACTTTCGTTTATATAACGTACAAACTTGAAAACGTAAACTCTGTGCATATGAGGTGGGGGGGTGTTAAATACCTTTAACTTACTCGGGGATCAAGTCTACCGTCCGTTTACAAGTTGGCTCAGTAAGCCTAATATTTAAATATTTTTTTTTAAGCTTTACTTGACACAATACACATTTTAGCATTGTCAAAGTCAGTCAGTAATTTTGCGTCGATGTTCTCGTGAGGATCGGAAACTTCTTAAAGGTGTTGTCAGCATGAGTAACACAAATGGAGAATAACATTGCGGTACTCTAAATACGAAGCGTCCCGGACTGCAAATTGCAATATACATAATGGACACGTGCGCCTGTGGATACATCAAACGCATGATTGATAGTCGAGCCTTTTTTAATTATCAGTGAATATTGTGGCAACCCGTGGCTAGACACACTGAAACATTGCCCTTGCACTTTATTTCTCCAGTATTAAGTGTTTAAAAGCATTACTTGGGTGTGTGAAAGATGATTAATGTGATGCAAACCAAGTTGCAGGTGCACAAGGGTGCGTATTATTATTTCCCTTGTAACTGAAGATGTAAGAATGTACCTGACCGATTGACTGGAGCCGAACCATAAAAATACAATACAAATTCCAATAGGAATGCCTTCACTAAAACATCTCTATGCCTCAGACACAGTGGAGGAAGAAAATTTTGTTAAAAGATTCTCTCCCTTAATTTTGTCTCGTAACTGGTGCTAAAGTGAATGTCTTCAGAGTATTTCGGTGCTGTTTACTGTACATGTTTGCTCTTTAGGTTAAGTCAGTCAGTTAGGTACATTCTTACATCTTCAATTACGAGAAATCTCCATCGCACTAAAACCAGGTTCTCGGGACAACATACCGCTTCAGCCATGTTTGCTTATCTCTGTTTAATTCGGGGACGAGAACCTATAACCGTTTCGGTATTTATTACCGAGCATTGTTAAACATTTTGCATAATTAGACCAGGAGTTCGGTAAACTTAACTGCATGTAAATTTAGTTTACTTGTAATAAAAAATTTCTTGGCGTTACTTATATTTTGAAATTGCCACACACTCGTATGTCAGAACATATGAATTTGGAGAGAGCTTGTTGAGATGTTACGGGATTTAGTTGGATAAAACTGTGTGATTGTAGTGTATTTGGCAGGCCGTCATCTCCGCCGTTGCCAGTCTCATCTCCTGCCTTCCGGCCGCCCGCCAGCCTCCGGGAACACGAAATTAGTTTGGAATCGAATTATTTGATATGTATGTGGCTTGGAGAGTTGTGGGAGGGGGGGGGGGGATTTTGCGTGCTTGTCCATTCCTGCTGTATTGCTGATGATGGAGATACGCGATTAAACGTATTTATTTGGGTTTGTTAAACTTATTTCATAAAGTGGAGTAATGTTATGTGACGAGTGTTAGCTGTGTTTGGTGAAGGCTTCCGTCAGCAGACTAGGGCGTCCTTGAGTTTTTCGGTACACTTTTCACCAGCTAAATGAGTTATCAATGAGTTGACTGTGTTGTGTGGAGCGTGAAGGTGATCATGGTGGTCGAAACAGTCATTGTGTCGACGATCACATGTCTTGGCTGATTCAGACACCGTTCCACTTCTCTTCCACCGTAGTGCATTTTTTAAACTCATGAACGTTCAATTGTTTTCAGACCGTCTTGTAATGATTGGTATTATACTGATAGCAGTTGTAGATTGCAGGCGGGAGTTTTTGCGAGTGATAGTATAGATGTGTGTGTGTGTGTGGTGTAAAGTGGTGGTATAGATGTGTGTGTGGTGTAAAGTGGTGGTATAGATGTGTGTGTGTGGTGTAAAGTGGTGGTATAGATGTGTGTGTGGTGTAAAGTGGTGGTATAGATGTGTGTTTGTGTGGTGTAAAGTGGTGGTATAGATGTGTGTGTGTGGTGTAAAGTGGTGGTATAGATGTGTGTGTGGTGTAAAGTGGTGGTATAGATGTGTGTGTGTGGTGTAAAGTGGTGGTATAGATGTGTGTGTGGTGTAAAGTGGTGGTATAGATGTGTGTAGTGTAAAGTGGTGGTATAGATGTGTAGTGTAAAGTGTGGTGGTATAGATGTGTGTAGTGTAAAGTGGTGGTATAGATGTGTGTTTGTGTGGTGTAAAGTGGTGGGTATAGATGTGTGTGTGTGGTGTAAAGTGGTGGTATAGGATGTGTGGTGTAAAGTGTGGTATAGATGTGTGTGTGGTGTAAAGTGGTGGTATGATGTGTAGTGTAAAGTGGTGGTATAGATGTGTGTTTGTGTGGTAAAGTGGTGGTATAGATGTGTGTGTGTGGTAAAGTGGTGGTATAGATGTGTTTGTGTGGTGTAAAGTGGTGGTATAGACAAAAATAGTGGTGTAAAGTGGTGGTATAGATGTGTTTGTGTGGTGTAAAGTGGTGGTAGATGTGTGTGTGTGGTAAAGTGGTGGTATAGATGTGTGTGTGTAAAGTGGTGGCATAGATGTGTGTGTGGTGTAAAGTGGTATAGATGTGTGTGGTGTAAAGTGGTGGTATAGATGTGTGTGGTGTAAAGTGGTATAGATGGTGTGGTGTAAAGTGGTATAGATGTGTGTGTGTGGTGTAAAGTGGTATAGGGGATGTGTGTGGTAAAGTGGTGGTATAGATGGTGTGTGGTAAAGTGGAAGATGTGTGTGTGGTGTAAAGGGTGGTATAGATGTGTGTGGTAAAGTGGTGGTATAGATGTGTGGTGTAAAGTGGTGGTATAGATGTGTGTGGTGTAAAGTGGTGGTATAGATGTGTGTGTGGTGTAAAGTGGTGGTATAGATGTGTGTGTGGTGTAAAGTGGTGGTATAGATGTGTGTGGTGTAAAGTGGTGGTATAGATGTGTGTGGTTTAAAGTGGTGGTATAGATGTGTGTGGTGTAAAGTGGTGGTATAGATGTGTGTGGTTTAAAGTGGTGGTATAGATGGTGTGTAGTGGTGAGCATTCCGTGGCAGGTGAGCCACAGCATCTGTGGTCGCATAACATTCTTCGCTGGCCAGCTTCGTAACGCCATTTTTTTTTTGTGTGTGTACATGTTGAAGTGGCATGCATGTTTTGGGTGTTGGCCACGCTTCTATAGCAACGCAGGAGGCGCTGCTAGTTTGTTGACTTACTGCGTCGGGCTTTCAGGCACGTGGAATAGCCACGAGGGACGATAGGTGGCGACCAGGAATGTTCGGAGCCATAAGATAAGTGGGAGAAGTTCATGACATGATAGTAACTCACAGGTTCCTGTAATACCTGAGATCTTCCCATAACTTGCAGTTGAACAGAACAAAGTGCTCGTGGGATGAATAACAGTAACCGTCAGGCCCTTTACGTTTACATATAATTTATCCGCTGTTGACTTAGGGGTTGTCTCTATACCCCCCTCCTCCTCGTCAGACATCCTTGAACAAAGAGTTTTCCTTGTCAGGAATTCTGGGTCGTAGTACAAATGAATGGTTGTGTTGTGGCTTTAGAAACATATAATACACACGCACACTGTCGGTTTTGTTTAGTTGGTAGTTGATGAGCTACGTGGAGCAGAGGTAGAGAAGTGTGGTGGTACGGAGGTGATGGATCTTGTTAACATTAATAGTTTATAATGACGCCTTATGGTGGGTAACTTCCTGACAGTCGACATGGAACATATTCTATTAATCGTAAACAAGATGATGGGCGGCTGCCAGCAAGATATAATCAGTGGGATTAGGATGGGGGCACACATTCCTCTTTTGAAACCTCCGAGAGAAGTTATGCGGATTGGGGCGACCACATTAGCCCATTAGGCCGAACTTGCATGTTTTACTGAGGAAAATAAGTTGGTCTGTCAAGTGACAGTAGGTAGTGTGACTCGTGTAGGGTGAAAATTTTTAAAGTACACAATTGGGACTGGGTGTGTGTGACGGGGATCATATTATATATTAAAACGGTTTATAGGCCTGTGTACATTACAAGGACGTGCACCTTGTTGGATATTTGTCAGTAGAAGAAACATGGGATATGTTAGTTTGGTGTAAAGTTAGAATATAATGTTATTTATTGTAGTTAATATTTCCACTTGTCTTTGTGCTCTTTGGTGTGAGTTTGTCCTTAACTGAGTGATCACGTTCGACGGAATCGACCCAGCCACCCGTGCCCGAGAGGGGCTACAGGGAGCAGACATCTACTCTGGCTGCTGCACACTGCGCATTGAATATGCCAAGGTACGTAAACTGCATTTTTGTATATCCTTGTTTTGCTTTCTTTTACCTGCGTTTCATTTTGTCTTTACATCTACTTCACACTTCTAACGTGTCGTATATCTTTCCCTCATATTGAATTTAATTATTTTCATCCTTTGCTATTTATAATATTTACAATAGTTTTCCAAACATCTTTCACTTTTATGCAGATTGATGTTTAGAGATAAATATGCTAACAATGTAACTTGTACTACATTAATTTTGACGTGTTAAGTGTGTAAACATTATAGTTTTAGTAAAAGTAAGAGAGGTAAGTGCAAGGGGCAGTGGCAGTAGTGTAACAGTGACGACAGTGCCGGGAACTCGTACTGTATAGCTATGTGGAGTTTCAACTGTGTATTGATGGCAGGAAGTGGAGTAGTGTGTCCTGTAGATCCCCCCCCCCAGGTTGATGGTTAGAATATAATTTGATGTGTTTTAGCCATCAGTTTATATTTTTTATTATTGGTTGAGCCATGTAGCTTGGTTCATTACTTGAGTGAGCCAGCCCTCAAACAGCAAGCTCATGTATCAGGGCTGTTAGATTATAAATACCCCGCTTGCCTCCCGTGTCATTACCAGTAGCGCATATCAGATTTTTTTTTCTCCATCCCCTCTCCATCTTACTGTACCACAATAACCTTCTCTTTCCCACTTGTTATCAGCAAGTAATAAACTGACAGGCGAGTCTTCAACTCCTCTTTCTCTTAGAGCATGAGTAATTTTATTCGCTGGTGACCCACGTGACGTAACAACTAGAACATTAACTCTACATTTTATGACAAAGGCATGTTTGTGGTTCTATATCTGCGAAGTCAACGGTAATTGTAAAAGAGATATTTTAAGATGGTGTAGGGCTGTCACGAGGTTTGCCCACATGTTGGCTGGAGACGTGAGACACGCTGACCTCCACTACCCGGTCCTGTACGCGCGCCACCGCTCGACTTGACGCCGGGATAAAATTATATACCGAGACCCTCACGCCCCTGACACATCATTCCGTGCCCTACCTGACCCCTCATCAATCTGTCTTATTACCCTTGCTGTCACTCATGCCAAGTTGATAGACATGTGTAATAATACAGTAGTCATTAATTATAACTATTTGAGACTACATGAGGCTGTACCAAGACGGACCAGTGTGATGATAGATCTTTGCCTGCTCACTCGTAGTGACGAGAGTGAGTTACGGCTTGTATTAATATACTGTACTGTCATCTGTAAGCGAGCGCTAGTTATCTTTATGGCAAAACGTAAGAACACGGATTAAATAAGTACACTATGCAGTAAACCTTAGCTGTAACGTTGGTCACAAGTAAAATAACTGCTGAAATATTGTATCTTATTAACTACAAGTCCGTGTTAGAGCGTGAGTCATTTACAAGTCACAGACTAGGGAGGTGGATCCTATGCTCTACCACCCAACTCTGCTGGTGCTGCGTCTTACAGCTATAATCAGGTGAGGGATCAGTGAAATTCCCTCTGGCCGTCCATACCTCGGCACCACCGTCGCCACTACACTATCATAAAATTTCTAGGTACCTACAATATACTTCAGAAGGCGGCGATAGGGGGGGGGGTAGGTAATGCCTATCCTTGACCCTCTGACTGAGTATTGCATTTCATCTATAAACTCGGTCTTAATTAACATCCGAACACAGCTTTCATTGCTCTTTATGTTCGAACTGATAATTCCCTGCTTCCCTCTCCCCCTCGACGTCTCCCCACACCAACCTTTGTAATGGTAGATGTAAATTTTAATAAACCAGCGACTCCACAACCATTCTCATCTCACCTGTCACTCTCTGCCAATGTCTTCCTCACCACCCCTCGCCATTCCCTTGCTTTGAACCTGTCGAATTCCTTAAAAAAAAAAAGTTTAAAAAATATTTAGAAAATCCCTGTGCTTAAATTAAAGGTGCCAAGATTAAATATTCTGATCGTTTCATTTAGGCCAGTCAGTGTTAGAAGGAATTGTGGTGTTCAGTATGCAAGTTGGCTTCTGCCAGTACCACCATAGATAAAGCCGACCCTGTCTTATTCATTAAAACTTGTTATACTTTTGAGATAATGAAGTCCACCCCCCCCCCCCAACCCCCCAGATAAGTTATTGGATTAACCTGTAGAGCTGTGGTGAGGATGGTGGTTGGTAAGGTGATGTATGTTGGGAGTAGAGGCAGAGGTGTGGGAGGCGTAAACCTGGGCTCCTGCACGCCCTAGTTAACACTCACAAAGCTGCCACCCCACCACTAAGGCCTCACCATCCCTTCAGAAGAGTCGTAACAGTCGTCAACCGTGTTAACACCAATAATAACAGTACCCTACATTTTTTGCACAACAGTAGCATACCAATTAAGTAACTTTATCCATCATTAGAGCACAACAGTATTTCTTGACAGCAGCCACAGCCATCTCAATTAAGGTGATCTAATGTTTACTCTAGGACTAGGTATTGTGTTAAGGTTCAGAGTATTGGGGGCGTGAACCTAAATGTAAGACCTGAGATGTTTGGATATATATATATATATATATATATATATATATATATATATATATATATATATATATATATATATATATATATTTATTTATTTATTTATTTATTTATATTATATGCGATGTGAAGTGAAGGAGCTCTGGGGATGGGGGGGTCCTTAAGAGCGGAGCGTGGTGAGGACACTTGCAAATATTGACGTAGAGTTGGACAGCTTTAGCCAGCAAGAAGCGTCATGGATGCGCTGCCAGATGCGTGTATCTTCCTTCTCTCTTTAAGGGGGCCAGTTTAAGGGTTCAAATCTGATATTGAACCGTTTTTGTAGCCTACAGTGGGCAGAGAGACGTTCAGATTGTGTTGTGGATTCAAACGTCTGTGTCATTCCAAATCCCCCACCCTCTACGTTGACCCTTAGACAATTCTTATGGATTAGTCAAGTTGAATTTGTTTTTGACGAACACACACACACACACACACACACACACACACACACACACACACACACAGTCTAAAGATGGTTTTACCCCAAATATTAACCTGCAAATTCACCTGTTTTAAGTCACTTCCCACCACTGACTGGCTGAAACCATAAGTATTATTAACTGTGGTGAATCCTTGGCACTGGAAAGAAAATTGTGTGAAGAATCAAGACCTTCAAGATATAAATGAGTAAGCATAGTTATTGTGCTACTGGGTATTTGTTGTTTGCTGTATAAGAACATTACAAATACAATGTACTGTAGTAACAGTAACATGTGGCATATCCGAAACAGTTAATGGTATGGCGGTGGTGTGACACAAGTCCCCCTGGAATGCAAATGACGAGGGCGGTGAACACAGTGGCCATGGAAGGGGTTGCGCCGCAACCTGCCTTTGGCCCCGGCGGCTCGTAAATACTGGCGCAGTGACCACCATAAACCCCGGCCTCCCCATCCCACCACTATCGTGATGCTCAACTATTCCAGCTTGGCGACCAACACGCAGCGCATGCACAACAATAGCTGGCCAGCTGCCCTTCGTGCCTATCCCAGTTCTTGCTTACCTTATCCGGCACCTCAACCTGGCGTCAGTGGCCTGGTCACGGGATGCCTGGTATGTGCATCGGACCGTAAAGTAGGAACAGTAATAAGTCCTGCCCAGGCTGTCATTACCATCTGTGAGGCCAGCTGGTGCGGATAAATGAGAGGGGGTAGCATCCAAGGTTCTCTGGGAGTTTATTAGGTGGGGGGCAAAATGTGGGAACGCCACTGTCACCTCGTGTAAGCCGATATTGATCGAGGCAGTGTTAGTAACTTGGGGTGACTGGGGGCGGCGAGCGGTGCACCCCAGATAACCTGTGATGAAGCCTTCAGATGAGAGGCATGCGTATCCCGGCTATCAGAAACTGGGTCTCACTCCACATTTTACGGCCGCGCCGCCACCCACTCCCGGTTATTTTAGACCGTTCATTCTGAGAGGTGTGCGTGTGCATCATAAAATATGGAGGGCTCGTCTGCAGCCGTGGTCGTGGTATGTGATGGTCGTTCGTGGGGGGGTGGGTCTGAGCCCCAACTATGTCTGCTAGCGACACTTAAGCCCACACAAGGGCGTATACAAGCCAAGCATCTCCCTTGCCTCGGGACAAAGTCGGAGTATCTACCATCTTTACACGTGCTCACACTGCTTCCTAATTTTCTATATTTAATCCCCTGCAGATCAAGTATGGGGGTAGAGGATCGATTGATATTGTCTGCAAAACTTGGGGTTTAAATTTGGTCCGTGTTCCTTATTCTTGACAGTATCATGGGTCCGTGATACGTTGTGAGGTTTTAGATTTGATTGAAAATGTCTAAAAGCATCCGCCATAACTAGGGTGGCAAGGACGGCCTCCTCTCAGCTGTTTTTAATGAGATTTGAAAATGGCTCGACTCTGTTCCTGCCATATTTTACACGAACTAGCTCACACGAGGAATATCTGGATTTCACCCCTCTGGGGATACTACTGACTTGAGCTAAAAAAATTGTCTTGTTTTTACGAAATGCTGTGGGCATATCGTTTACCTTACACAACACTTTTATTGTCTGTTGTGCCAATTGTTCTAACTGTGTAGGTGCCAGTTAACCGTGGCAAAAACAAATCAAATTTGATACAAGTTTGACTCGATAAAGATTGCCGGTATATGTCAAATAACCCTGCAGTAGGAGCCTATATAACCATGCACACAACCGTTTGTGTCCCAATCGACACTGAAGCCAACACACGACCACTGGATGCTGGCAGGAAATGGTTCAATGTATTGTCCTCACTTGAAGGTTCTCCGCCATAGTCATCATTCACAACTGGCGTTATACCCATTAATGCTCTTATTTGTTACATTCATATGAAGAAGAGATTCTGTCCTACGGTTGGCTCGTGAGTAAACATCTGCGTCGACCCACGTCCAGATTTAAAGTTTATACATCCGGGGCGACGGTGGTGATATTGCAAGTATTGTAATCGATGTTTTCTTCGTGTCCGTATCTGATTGATTGCAGCTTGGCAGTCATTCGGAAGCGGACATATGGGGCTTGGTATATAAATTCCTCATATATTTTGTTTGGTAGGCATTTCCCAGCTCTGGTGTAGAGGGAAATCTTTGAAGAATTTGGCACTGATGCCCAAAGTGAGGATATGGTTAATTATGAAGGGAAAACATCCGTAAATAATTCTGAGGGTTGGGTTTCTTGGACATTACATATGTATTTCACTGTGGTAGACAGACGGTGATTCACTGATGGGCGTGAAGGTTTTGTCGCATTTGTTTTTCTGGGCTTAGTTGCTGAATATAGCACACAGTGTGATGCTGTTCGAGGTTGCGTTATATATTGGTGCCGTCAGCGTGGCATTTAAGATTTGGTGTACCGCTGTAAATGTCAGCACGTGGAGCTTGCAACACCACTTCTTGGAGCATCTTCGTTGTTCCGGTGAAAGTGATCAGGTTAAATATTATACGTGTGGCACAGAAGCTGCGTTGACCTAATGTCGTCACAGTTTGATAAGTTAGCAGCAGTCTGGGTCCTCATGTTACGACCGTGGTATCTGCCAGTTAGGGCTGCAAACTACTCTCCTGCTGTTTCAGTGTATCCTAGAAGTGATGAGAGTTGTCTAACGTACTGGCAAATTCTCAGCGGTATAAAGTCGACAAAGAAATTGCACTCGTACAGTAACGTTAGCACCACTTAGGGTATTGAAGGCGGGGGCATATCTCACCTTAGTGCCAGGAAACACTACCTGTCAAATCCCCTTCACCGGTGACAGGTAGGCTCCGGTATTAAGGACACTCTGGGAGCCTCAGTCATAGTGATTAGGTTAGAACCTCACTGACCCACAACTTCACCCCTCACCATGACTAATCCTAGTTGACCACCATCACCGTTGTTGCCGCTCGAGAAAAACAAGACTTAAGTAAAACGGTCTAGACTTAAGTAAAACGGTCTCAAGTTTGTGACGGGCGGCGTAATCAGACTTGCAAATCCGGGCCAACTTTGACGCGGCCCAGGCAGAGTTGTCAAAGTCAATATTCGTGGAGACTGTGGCAGAGTCGGGGGTATTTTCTCCTCTACGGCTCTATTTCTTCCACATCTAAATCCTCTTATTAGACAATCCGCTTACCCTTATATTGTTTTAAAACTTGGAAAGAATGTTATATAATCCACCGTTGGCGATCATTTTTGTTTGTTTGGGGGGGGGTGTTGTGCAGCTAAAATTGCCGAACGGAAGGGTGGTACTGTGATGCGTGGTTATCATTGCTAACGATGGCAGGGTATGTGATGTGTGTTGGTAACATGAGTGAAGTATACAAATAATAAGGGCTTTTTTATATAATGACATTGACTGGTGGTGGATTAGGCAGTGACAGGGTTTAGATTTAAGTTGGCATCGTCAGCATGATACTTTTTTGTTTTTGTTTTTATCTAAGAGGGAACCAGATGTGTAGAAAGTGACAGTGTTCATAATATGGCGACCTACACGTCAAGTGTAGTAGGTATTAGGCAGCTACCAAACAGGGAGGTACTACCGCCTGGGAAGATATTGGAAGCATGTGTTGTCTAGTGGTAGACCCTGCTGCCAGATGGCATCACGAAAATTGTGACCAAGTACCAAGTTGCTGATCTGACTTTCTGCCTCATTTATACATAATTGCAGGGTCTCAATTGTTTCTCTTACCATTGACAACACAACATACATATATGGTTTCTCATTATTGATCTTTTTGTATTTTTTGTTTCTTTATGGTTCTTTATTATTATTGCATTTTCGCCCCCAGGCCCCGATTTGGGTCAGTGACCTGTGCCCGGGTGGGCTAATCCCAAAAAATATAATATAAAAATAAATAAGTTAAATCGCAATATTGTGACGCATATTTACATCCACCAAGAAAAGGATCGTAATTAGATTCAGCTCGCACCTCATTTGTTCCTAAATGTGTGAAGTTTACTTTTTTCCACCAGTAGTCCATAACAACGTTGTTAAGGTATGCACGGAGTAAGACCCCACCGCCTTGTTCTTGTCTCCACTTCTCACTGACCGTAGGTGACAGGCCGTCTTCGCGTGTGCCTGTATAATTGTGCATGGTATTCAGTACCTCCTTACATTTTCTTGAGGCTGGCTAGAACAAGGTCTATAGTTTATTCAGACACGCCTGTTTGGACGAGATAGTAGGAGAATGAGGTTTTAGTGGCAGGAAGCAGGGGTGGTTCACAGTCACTCGCAGGTGAGGAGCTGTAACAACGCAAAGCCACGCATTGGAAATGAACCAATATCGCTACCCTCTACTGTTCCATCAGCTACCCTGCTCCTTCCGACTCCTTCACTTATCACATTATAACGTCCATGTCTTGTACAGTCAGTCAGATCGCTTTTGTAATAAAACAGACGAGAATCCTCTAGACGCGTCTATAATTTGGTAGTAATGTTTAAAAGGCTCCGAAACGCAGACTCCAGGAGCAATATGAGGTACAACATACGAAGCATCGCTTGGCGTTATGTAAAAAGTAAACGGTATGTAGGTCGTGGGTCACGGGTTTAGCGGAGGCAAGAGCGACAAAGTGTTTTTCCAAGAGCATCTTAAGTTGGCCACGCCACAGCCTCGCGCCCACCACCTCCGTCCCGACCCAGTAAATGAAGTTGAGGGTGAAAAATTTTATGACAATGGCTGGTAATTTGTTTAACTTTTTTAGGCCCTACTCGGCTCGGTGTGCAATAACTGGCTGCCCCCTGAAGATAAGGTCGCACTCTGTTGGCTGGGTGGCTGTGGGTGGGGGCTGGCTGGTCGTCAGTTAAGAGTAGATGCTTGGAATAGAGAGAAAGGGAGGTATTTGAGCAACTGTCTGTTGATATACGCTTGTGGATTCTTAGGTAAATGGGTGCTTGTGTTAGTTGGGACCCGTACAGATTTTATAAACGATGGTATTATGAGACTTGTTTTGTTAACGTTAAAGGATGTTTCTATCATGATGCGAAATTGCCTTTTCTTGTCTGAGCGTTTTTTGGCCTGGGTGCAGGACTTGGGGAACCTGCGTGAAGACTCTCTCTGAAAGCTTTCCTGAGGTGTTTTCAATGTGACATTTGCTGTACAACAGGTTTGTTAGGTAAGAGTGTGTTGGTTGTCGAGCCAAGTGGTGATGTGATGGGTGTTGGTGTGCAAATTACAGGAGGCCTCTGGATCATTACCTGGGATCCCCACTGCTGCCACCACTACTCTTTACCTGCCCATTAAGAGCCCCATCATAGCCTTCCCCGACCGAATAGTGTGTGTGGAATGTTGGCATTGAACCTACACACGCAGCAGCTCTTCAATGTACACATTTTCTCTACCGATCCCCTCTCGTCGTCTTTGTATTCCGTTATTCATTTCTTTCCACTGTCCCATTTTTGCCTACTTCTCTTGCCACCTCTCGCCTGCCTAGACCTGTTCCTACCACCTGAGAACAAGTTTAACCTGATGTTTAAGGCTGAGATAGACGCCCTGTGGCTTATTACAACACTAAATACATTATTAACCTCTTAGCGCTTTAAATACCTTGCGTGTCGCTAACAACGTGGTGATATCGTCACTTTTATCATAATACACACTTTCACGGACACCATAGTCATGTCAAGCAGCAGACCGTTTTCTTGTAAACCGGGGTAGAGGTTTTGGCTCAATCAGGTTTGTTTGAAGCTGATTCATTGAATGAGACGAATATTATTTGTATAATTGTCGTTAAATATTGGTAAACTCTGTATGTAATCTTGTAGCTCGCTGAGAAGTTATTCGTTATCGTTTGTATACTTTACCATTAACGGGCTGCTTACAACACACAGGAATTGAATGTCCCATGAGGTAGCTACTTGTAGAGTATTCTTTTGAAGTGGCTGCGACAAACTAATTTGTTTGGGATGCTTGCAGCTAAGCGTTAACTATTGAATGTACCTAATGTTTTATTGTTATTAAACTAAAGAAACTTGTGTTCTTCCCCCACAGCCGACCAAGCTGAACGTGTACAAGAACGACTCTGAGAGCTGGGACTTCACCAACCCCAACGTCGGTAAGTAGTACTTACTACCACAGCCCCGTGAGGTGACACCAATCTTCTTCCCTGCCTGGAACCTCGCGCTCCTTGTCTTCTCCCTCACTTTCTCTTTACATTGTCTTGAATTGTCAGGCGTTTTATCATAAGTAATGTGTTTACAGTTTACAAATTTTATCTCTAGAATGTGGAGGGAGGATCTGGGCAGGTGATGTGTGGTTTCTGTCACATTTGATTATAAATTGTTCTCAAATGTATAAAGTACTTTTGTATTGTAGCTGTATTAAGTTGTATTTGCGTCCTGTTAATGTGACCTGAGAGGTAGTTGCTCGTCTCAGCGTTGAGCTGTGATGGTGACACTGGGTATGAAGGCCGATGGCTCCGTACAGAGGTACACAGCACAAGGAAACAGCCAGGTACGCCCACAAGCCGTCACTCGCGGTTGGTTGCTTGGGCGAGCTAGGACGTGGTGGTGGTGGCCACACTGAGGCATTGATAGCTCCTTGCCCTCAGTGTGGCCATCACCCGTCCTCACCCTCCCACAACCACGCCCCAAGTCCACATCTACGCCCACTCTCAACTCATCTTCTGTCACGTCCACTGTGTGTCTGACGCCCCAGCTGCTAGCCTCAAATATTCTCTCTTGAGTGATGAATCTAGCAAGCATAACCAGTCCCAAGATGGACCACCAACTCATCCACGCCCACAACCTTGCTCATACCAGCTACTCCGTCTACAGTCTGCCATATTCTGTCAAATATATCTTTCCTTTCCTTTTACGCCTTCACCAGTTATTATTCTCCGACTAAATCATGAACTGGCCTGTAACTCGCCTTCTGGAAACTTCCCCATAAAACCATGTCCTTTGTCGAGGATGGTAGAACGACATGCACTCATCACAGGATTATCAGAAGCTTTATGTAACACTACAGCCACCATACGTCATTAAACAAGCCCCGGTGTAAATATAAATATACAAAGACTGAGTGAACATTAAATGGATGAATGTAGAGATAGGGTGTTTGTGTAGGGGAGGGGAGGAGAGGAGGGACTAGAATTAAGAGCGGTGTTGGTTGTCTTGATCAAGAGTCCCATGTGAGGTAGTCTTTTAGTAAGTGTTTAGTGCACATGTATACAAAGTGTAGTCCATCTAACAGTCATAGTGCCACTTTCTAACTACTATTAGGAACATTGTTGATAAGTAACAGAGCTCTTACCTTAAGTTAGTAATGCTTAGCGTAGCATTCTGTTGTCAGACTTCCTTCTTTTTGTGAAGTAGTAGCAGTGTTGTCAGTCTTCCTTCTTTCTGTGTAGTAGTAACAGTGTTGTCAGACTTCCCCATTGTGTAGTAGTAACAGTGTTGTCAGACTTCCTTCATTGTGTAGTAGTAACAGTGTTGTCAGACTTCCTTCATTGTGTAGTAGTAACAGTGTCAGACTTCCTTCATTGTGTAGTAGTAACAGTGTTGTCACTTCCTTCAATTTGTAGAAGTAACACTGTTGTCAGACTTCCTTCATTGTGTAGTAGTAACAGTGTTGTCAGACTTCCTTCATTGTGTAATAGTAACAGTGTTGTCAGACTTCCCTTTACTGTGTAGGAATAGCATTGTGTTTGAAAATTTCTTTCTGTGTAGGGATTGGGTTCTGTCTTTGAGCTATCCTCTACTTCTGTCCGCAAACCTTTCACTGTAGTCCTGAATGTGGTGGCGTTAGTGATGGAGGAGTGTCAGGCTTGATTTAGTGACCACTTAACATTGTTTGCACACTCGTACGATAATTTATTTTGAGATGTCTTGCTGTTAGTTGATGGAATGGTGTGTCAAATGCTTGGGGCCAATTAGACCATCGTAATAGGAGTAGGCGGTAGGTGTTGGGGGCGTTAGTGAGGACATTTGTCGTTGCTGGAATATGATACGGGGTTTAGTGGTATAATTGTGTATACTGTATGTCTGCCCTCAAGTTCAAGCATAATGTAGATAGAAGAGACTGGCGGGTGTGGTGTGAGAAGGACGGGTGGGCAGGGAACGGGATGAAAAACACGACCTACACTACATATACTGATACCTGTCTGGCATTCCAAAAATATTGAAGCTCTTAAACCATAAGGATTATGTGGTACATAGGGCAGCGTTTAGGCTACACCCTGAGCTAGTTGCTGTAGAAGAGCGTGTGCAGGTAGTAATGATAGGAATGAGGTACCGTACGCACTATATGGGGAGGTCGGGCTGAGGTGCCGCAGCCCGCCTGCACAACACACGTGGCCACATGGCTCTTGGTTGCATGATAAACAATAACACTGGCCCCCTGACCACCAGACAGAGCCACAGAAGACTTGACCACACAGACAGCGGAGCCTCCCGCCTGATACCTGCCTCTGTGAGCCACAGTGTTATTGTTGTCATGTGTCGCCCCTCCCCCAAGGGGCTGCCCGTAGCCATGTGCCAATGTGTGTTCTGTGTGCAGGGAGAGGCCCTGCTGCTGCCCGCGTACACCTCCGGGCTTTGTCCTAGGCGTGGCCCCTGACCCCTGGCCTGGATAGGCGGGTCCCGTCTGGTACACCAGTGAAGTCTTCCATACATCGGCAACAACCTCACCGCCCGAGTATCGGTTCAAAAAATCCCCAGGTAAGTTCTTAATGTTCTTCATCAAAGTTCTTCCCGCAAAAAGCTAAAATTAAAATTAAATAGAGATTGTGCTATCAAATTATTATAAAAATGAAAAAGAATTTCTCCAGCAAACTAGATACGAGGAAACAAGAGGTGACGAAGTAAGCGGGAATTTGGGAGGTAAGATTGTTTAGTTTTAACACTGGGAGAAGGTTATGGTGTGGAAACTTAGTTTGACATTACTGTATAGATTGTTCCTTTATGCATTCTGTTTTGTTAGAGAGAAAAGGGACCAATAAAATTTTCTGGTACATATTTTGAAATGTAAAATTCAATTATATCATGCCACGACCTGCTTTGGCTCTGCCCACTTTTTGGTTTGCTAATGTTGTAACAAGACATCTTACCCCTACTCAGGCCAGCCGCCCCATTTTGTGTCTTCAGTGTACTCGCTCATGCGTCAAAAACATCGATGCCGTGAGATACGGGAATAGCCTTCTGCTAATGTCTCAGTGAGGGTCCTTGTCCAGTAAAGTCTGCCATACCTAGTGAGTTACACACAAATAAGCTCAACATGGCATGTGCGTGCCGTTGTAATTTCTCTGTTTTCTTACAATAACTTGGCTGCTTGAGAAGTTAACTCGTATTGGATTTTTTCAATTTGTAATTCGTATAAAAAGCTGTAGGGACACTGCTGACGCTTTCAAAGAACGATCACCTTAAAAATAAGTGTGGAGAAACCTCGAGGTTGAGCGCACATACTGTAAGGGATGTCTTAGAATGGTTCTGATACTAGGCCAGACCTGGACAATAAGTCGCGGTGGAGAATGAATGGGCTTAACATGGAGATGATGCGGGCGCTATCACCACCACCTCGATAGGATCGCTAGTAGTGCGTAACTGCACCGGAAAGCCGACCCTGTCACCAATAAATTAAATTAACGTCTCGTTTACTTAGTTCCAATTAATTACACTTGTGTGAGTTAAATTAGCATTAAATAAACCGGGTGGAATGTTGTATAAAAGGGGTCAGCTTAACGTTAGGCTTCGTATGTAATCATTGTATCGTGTATATCTTTCACTGGTAAGTGTCGTGCTGGTGTAGCGTCTGGGGCTGTGAGGAGGAGTGAGTGCGCTTTGAATATGTAAGAGGGTCTGGCGCAGCGGGGCAGCTTCAAAGCCGAGGTAAATTCCTGGCTTGGCCTTGTGCATACAGATCCTGTGTTATGGGCGGGGCTGAGCGGGGACGAGAGGTGAGGTAAAGAGGGCGTGGTACCGCCCTTCCTGCGCAGTAACCCAGGGTAGAGAGACTTTTGGCCTTCCTTAACTTACCATCAGGCAGCACTACCCACACACAATACGCTACGTCGTAATCCCTCCTGGCCTTGAGTACTAAACATTAACGTCTTGCTTTATATATATATATATATATATATATATATATATATATATATATATATATATATGTATATATATATATATATATATGTATATATATATATATATATATATATATATATATATATATATATATATATATATGCAAGTAAATCACTGTAGGTGCGCGTGATCTAGGTATATGCTGATAACCACAAGGAAAGAAGAAAACACGAAGTTCCCAAGCGCTTTCGTGTAATTCACATCTTCAGGGGTGAGTACAGACTAAAGAGAAGTACAAAACAAGGTGCATATATACAGAGGAGGGTGAGACCAGGTCCACAATGGTCAGGTATTAGGTAATGACCCTACTAATCTTTAAATAGCACACAACGGTTGGTGGTCAGGTCAGATGGTCAAGGTGACCCCGGCCTTCTCACCTGATTACAAATCTTCTTAATTACAAAATTGTCCAGCTTGTACATGCCGTTACACGAAAGCGCTTAGGAACTTCGTGTTTTCTTTCCTTGTGGTTATCAGCATATATATATATATATATATATATATATATATATATATATATATATATATATATATATATATATATATCAGATGATGATAACCTAACAATAAGAGTGGGATCTGGTAGTGAAGTGTGGCAAGGTGTGGCCGTAGTGTTGTGGGTATTTTGATGCCAGCCGCCACGCCGCTTGGGGATGGCCCACCCTGATAACACTTTATTACACTCGTTTCCTGCCTCGTAAAGATCATCATCTTACGCCCCTGTATGGGGGGCGACCCTCAAGTGGCAAGCCTTCCACAGAAGCTTGAGGTCTTACCACCTCCCTGGCCAGGCTTTCGGTCACTCCCTTTGCCAATCCACACCTCGATTCTTCCAATAGGTGCTCTTCACATCTGTTGAGCAGTTTCGTCGGGTGAAAAAAAAGCTTGCATTGAAGCTAGAGGAATTCTTTGTAGCGGACATGCTCACTTAAAAGTACGAGTCTACGGTGGCCTGGGTAGGGTTTTTGAAAAT